GGGGAGGGGGGCCCAGGGGGGAGACCTGGGGCACACTTGCCCCTCCCTCCCTCCCACCCCCTTCCCAATATTTGGTTTCACAGCTGTAGTTAAAGCTTGGGATTTGGTTATTTTTTCCCCCTCCCAGGAATTTTCTTTTATTCTTGTTTTTCTTTTCCCAGTTATGGGGGTTGTATGGGGAGGGTCCCCACCACCCCCGGGCTGCATGGGGGTCCCTCCACCAGTGTCAGGGCATAGGCCCTATCCCTGCCCCCTACTTCCTCCTCTGCTGTCTGCCTCACTCCCCCCACACTGGGAAGGGGGTGAGGTCCCAGGTGGCAGGACTAGATGGGGAGGAAGCAGGATGAAGTGGGTGGTGGTGAGTCCTGGAATTTTTTTCTTTTTTTCCCCATTTTTTTTTTTTTCTTTTTTTTTGGTCTAGAATCATAGTTTGTTTGTTTTTGAGTCATCTCCACCATGCCTTCCATGCTGCCTGTGTTCTCGGAGGGGTTTTTGGTTGTAATTCCTTTAACTTTGCTCTGCTCAAATGTCCTTACTGTCTGTTCAGGAGCCCTTGGCCCCCCTCTCCACCCTCAGGCTGGGGCCCAGGCCCTCTCAATAGTCTCTTCTCTTCAGGAAATAAAAATGGACAAACTCAGAGGTAGGGTGAGGGCAGGGAGTCAGTTCAGCGGAGCTGAGATGCTTACATTCCGGCGAGGGTGGGCCGATGGCACGCCAGGCCCCATCATGGGTGCCAGGGTCAGAGGGGCGGCCACTCCGCTGCTGCCCAGACAAGGCATCCCAGACCCCGGCAAGAGCCGAGTCTCTGCTGCCTCCGTGGCCCAGCCCAACAGTTTCATTTCCCGGGTGGGAGAAGGGAGACGAGAAAAAGAACGCTGAGGCCTCGGGGCCCAGGGTGGCATCCGAGGCTGTGTCTGCCTCTCTTCGGAGTGTCCAGCAGCACTGTCTCCTGGGGTCCCTGCTCTGCTCTGCTCTGCTCTGCCCGGCGAGGGGCGGGGCCACTCTGATTTCCATGGCTCTCGTCCTTCACAGCAACACTTTGGTTTGAGGAGAGACACAGAAAGAACGAGATTGAGAGAGGTGAGAGAAGGAAGGAAGAGGGAGAGAGACAGAGGGGAGCAGAGAGAAAGGACACAGAGGAGAGGGGACAGATGGAATAGAGAAAGAAATCAAAGGAGGGATCAAACCACCCGAAAGTTTGTTAGTTTTCCTTCGTCCATTCTTTTTGTCTTCTTACTCCTTTTTTCCTGTTTTGTTTTTAAAGCTTTTTCAGTTGATTGGGGTGGGGCAGGGAGCATGGGGCTCTTTCCCCCAGTCCCTGACACCCTCTCTCAGCCCTGCCCACCCGCCTCCATCCGCCCTGGCTGAGGGACAGGCCCTGCCCCAGCCGCCCACCTCCGGCTTTCCCGAAGACAACGTCCATGAGGTATTTGTGAAGAGAAAGAAGCATCCGTCCTTCCATCCGCCTTGGGGACCAAGGGCCTGGACCACTGGGGCAGGGCTTGGCTCCACCTCGCGGCTCCTTCTTATACTTGAAGAGTCCTTGTCTTCTTTCCCTTAAATATATATATATATAAATTCTTTTTTCTAGTTTTAATTTATTGTTTGTTTGGTTTTTTGTTTTTGTTTTTGGTTCAAAACTTTGTTGGCCTCCACAATAGCAGGAGGGCAAAGTGGCTCCCAGCGGCAGCTCTCCTCTGTCCGTCATCGAGATGAGCCCAGGGCTGAGCAAACACAGGGTCCAGCCAAGACTAGAGGGAGGTCTCATGGGAGCAGTGGCCACCACAGTGCCCTCTCAGATGGGGACCACAGGTCATGGCACTGTCTCCCCGCCACATGGACCCTGATGGGGATGCCATCTCGAGGAACCCCACCACTGGGGTGCGTGTGTGTCTGCATGTGTGGGAGGGGAGGAAGAGGCATCGGCCAGTATCAGAGGGGCACGGGGTGGGGGGCATGAAGTGAGTTCTCTTTTTGGTTTCTGGTCAATGTCAAAGAACGTGAAGGATTCCACGGATAGGCACTGGAATATGAATTTTTTTTTCAGGGAAACTGACAGACAAGGATGGAAAAAAAGACAACTCGGATGCCCTCTTGCCTGCAACTTCCACCTTCCCATGGGCTGGGTAGGGGGGAGGTCCCAGAGCAGAGGAGGGTGACCGGGTGTGGGGGGACATGTGAGAGCTAGAACTTAGCAAAAAAACGGCCTAGCCCACCCTTCAAAGGGAAAAGGGGCAAGTACAGGGGTGAAAAGTCATCTCAGGCCTTCCCCTGCACTCTCCCCTGGCTGGGGGCGGGGGGCGGGGG